CTAATGCATTTGGATATATAAACTATGAAATACCTGGTTCACAGATGAGAAATGGCCTCTAGTCCTTGGGTTACAGTTATTACCACTTGCCTGAGTTTGCTAAGTCATCTGTTGTCTAATGGAAGGCTAACTTGTATGATGCCTGTCTTTCTCTGAATGACTGACTAGCCATGGACATTTGCCAAGATGCCCTGTTTTCAGAGCTCTGGATGTTGTCCAAACAGCTCTTTGTAAGTCTTCTTTTGCAACTGGGGGTCAAGTATGTGCGGATCACTGCTCACCATCCACTGTGGGAGATAGCCCATCTTCCAGCCTTGGGGTGCCCTTACCCAGGGTTTTCATAAAGTTGACAACTCAAAAGAGGAACATAATCTCATTAACATTACATGTATGACAGACTTGAACATTAGAGTCAATTTCCTCTAGATGGAAAATCCAATGCTTCTCAAATTTAGGATGTCAGAATCAGGGATGGAATGGGGGAGGGAAATGCCAATCTTTAAGAACCTTATTAAAGGCATCAAGAAGTCCTAATCTCCAGGTGACTAGGGCTTGGCTGGGTCTGATTGACATCCAAGAGACCGATTTCCTCATATGAAAAGAGTTTAGCATTTTGCTGTTAGTGAAAGTGATCGCAGTGGAGCAGCAAGCCTGTGCTTAGGTTTTGGCTACGATACACTGCCCAATTACTGCATAAGAATGCCTGGTGTTTTGCTAGTTCAAAGACATTGTCCTTTATCTGCATGTGGTGTACTGTTCAGGATGTTACACAGCTCGATTTGACGTTTTGTGGAGACGCCACAATTGGTCTTTGATTTTTTACAGTGTTATAGGTGATGGGATTTGTAAGATGCAAACTTGAAATTTTCCCTGGTGATAGCCAATGAAACCCATCAGAATGGGCTGGCTGATTTTTCTGCCTCGAGCTCTCTCAAAGCTGGCGCTCATCAGACAGATCTGGGCAGTGCACATTCCAGATGGAGTGTAATCTGTGGATGAATAAGAGCTTGCACCTGGATCTCTCTTGATTTGGTGGTGCTGACATGCCGTCTGTCTTTTGCTGCAGTATGCATTTTGCTTTGAAATGAAAACATTACATGAGTGTGTTTTGGGAGCTTCTGATTTTTTTTCATATATGTGAACTCAGGCAATCCTTGCTTGTCAGTGTGAAATGCATTGGAAAAGTGAGTGTGACTTGCCTGCATATCTTTTCTCAAATGATCTGAACTAATAGACTTGCTGGCTATCATTAAGTTAATGAGTTAGGGATGCTAACTGGCAAGAGAAACCTTAGTAACAGACTCCTATTATGGGTAAGAGAAATAGCAAAGATGGAGTCATATTTGCATAACTTCAAATCAGTAAAGAAAACCATATATGAACAAGTAGAGTATACCAAAATATGACAGGTACAATAATCTTTAGAAATTGTGTTGAGGGCTGGTGGTGGCACACGCCTTTAATCCCAGCACTCCGGAGGCAGAATCAGGCTGATCTCGTGAGTTTGGGGCCAGCTTGGTCTACAAGAGCTAGTTCCAGGACAGTCTCCAAAGCCACAGAGAAACCCTGTCTCAAAAAAAAAAAAGAAATTGTGCTGATGTTGTTCATTGATAGTTTCATATGTGTATAAAACGCAGTCTAGTGACTCTCACCCTCTCATCTCTTTCCTGGCCCTGCCCACTCTCCTACAAATCCCCTTCTCACATTCTCTGCTGTTTGTTTGCTCGTTTTGTGATCCACTGAGCTGTGTGTGTGGTTATGGGTTTGGAACTATTTATTATTGGAGCCTGATTGGGCTCACAGTGGGTATCAAGTTTAGACCATAATTCTCCCTCTTCCAGCATCTATTCTTAGCCAAGATGTCAGCAGAGAAGGTAGGACCCTATGATCCTCACCTCCCATGACTAGTTGCTGAAAAGGTCAGTCTTGTGCAGGCCCCAGGAAGGAAGCCACTGCTGTTGTATGTGTTCACATGTGCAATCGCTCCATCGTGGCTCAATGAGGGCATTTCATAGCTCTTCTCTGTATTTTGTGACTCTTGAATGTGTCCTAACCTTTTTCTACCACATTCACCAAACTTTAGTGGGGGTTGTAGAAATGATTTGTTTTAGGACTGGATCTTCAGCTGTCACTTGTTTTCAGCACCTTGAGAGCCACGGGTTTCCTTATTCACTGCTGTCAAAGCTGAGACCTGTCTACAGGGTTAGGCATCAGTATTCAGGTGGTGGTTTGACCCTGTGTTAATTTAGCTTTGCAATAGTAACAGGGTGCCCTCTAGAGACTTTGCCTTCCCCAGCCACGGGTTTTGACTGTACTTTAGTACCAATCATGGATAATGTACAGTGGAGCTTGTCTCAAATCCAATCAAAGAGCAGTTGGTTACCCATTAAGAGTCATACCACTATTGATATGATTGCAATGTAGTGTGCTCCGAGGATTTCAGTTTAGAAACTTACCAAGACAGGCATTTTTGCTTCTAGGCTTGCCACAGCTGGGTTTTTTAATTTTGCTAAGCATTTAAATATTCAGTAATGTTAAGGTTCCGTTTGAATTCCCAGAGGGTTGAGAATGATGAAGACAGTGTGGTGAAGTGTAAATTCATCTGTAAGCATTGTGATGAATGTTTCCTCATACCATTGAATCATACATCATAATGTTCTAGATAAATAAAAAAGTTAATCCTATTTTTACCATTGTAAGGATTTTATCATATTTCCGGGGAATACTGTAGCAGGCTTTCTTTTGGGCCACCAACCATCTCCCAGATCATGATATGGAGACGTATCAGTTATGAAAGCTTGGCTTTATCTTACGCTGGTTGTACCAGCTCTTAAAGCTTATTTAACCTGTTTTTCTTCATCTCATCTTGCCTTGAGCTTTTTAACCTTTTTATCATTCTGTATGTCCTATTCTGCTGCCTGGCTTAGTGGTTCCAAGCAATTCCCTCTCTTTCTCCCTCATTCTCTTTTTTCTCTCTGCTCACCAACCCCATCTATCCCTCTAATGCTTAGCTATTGACTGTTCAGATTTTTATTAGGTCAGTCATAAACAAATGTAACAATCTTTGCCTACTTATAGTAATATTCTGAAATAGAATACATCAGTCTTTGAAAAACAGATAATTTTAAGATAATTCATATTTGTAAATGATAGAGTGGGTAGCTATATGTTATACCTTCCATTAGAAAGTCTCAAAGGATTTTATTTTTAATTTCAGTGTCCAACTTTCACAATTTTCACATTCATGTAAATTATAAATTAAGCATGAACTGGTTACATCTCTACTATCTTGGAAATATGATTATATTTTAATCTTATGGTCAATTTGTCTCTCCTAATAAATGATTTAGTTTCTTCTTGAGGAGTTTATGTAGGACTCAGCAGGGAGCCTATACTAGATAACCTTTATGCTATCTCCAGAATTATCACTATGAATCTTACACAATAATCCTGGGATGTCTTTCAAGAATGTTTTCTTGCTCATTTTTGTGTATCTGTGACTGAAACCGTAAACTTTTCCATGGATTTCCTATTATTAAAAAAATGATTTTGTTTTATGTGAGATTCTTGCTAAGGACTTCTTATCAGAATAATCTTTTCATATCACATGATAATCTATGAAAACTATCTACCATATTTGATAGCTTTCATAATATTTTCTTTACTATGAATCAACTTTTATGACAGCCATTTGTAGTGATACATTATTTATGATTTAATAAAGCTTGCCTGAGGATTCAGAAAGCAAAGTCACCCATGAGCCATAGAAGTCAGGCACACACATTTAATCCCAGCAGCCAAAAACTAGGAAGTAGTGGTATACACCTTTAATCCTAGGAGTCAGGATTAAGAGGTAGAAGGGTCTCTGTGAGTTCAAGGCCACCCAGATCTACACAAGACTGAATCAGTCTAAAAGAGAATTATAGCTCACACCTTTAATCCCAGGACTCAAGAGAGGAATATAAGACAGGAGCAAGAATCAGTATCAGGCATTCATTCTCCAGTCACACAGAGGAAAGGCAGCAGGATCAGCTCATTTAGCCTGAGGTAGTGGTAAGAGCTAATGGCCTGCTACTTTGCTTTTCCGATCATCAGCTTAAAATTTGAACCCCTACATCGGTAATGTGAGAATGTGGTTGATTGATTGACACTCCTATGTTGATGTGAGCATTTCCGAACTGGTTGATCCTCAGAAGTGATTGCTAACACTCAATGGTTGGTGGCCAAAAACACGCTTACTGAGGTGGGTTGGTGCTGAAGGACTGAGCAGAAGTAAAATTGATTCTTCTGGTCCTTTGGTGGGTGGGGACCATAAAACAGAGATTCCGTCTCTAGATTCATTAAAATAATTCCAGTATCACAGTGTGGGAAAATACTGGTCTAGACCAGTCATAAATTCTTGAGAAGGAACTGTCTCCTGGGCAATTCCTTAGAAACACAATACCCACAGAAATGAGTGGAGAGAGCGTTCATTCTTTGGTGTGTCTGTCAGGGGCTATTAATTCAAATCCCCAACTGCTAGACTTGAGCATACATGGGAGTTTAAGTAATACAAAACTATGTGAATTTTTCTACAATATATACAATACTCTGCTAGCTAAAACTTGTTTATGAGCCCTACATGCTTATGGACAAGGGCTGCATAAAATAAAAATAATTCTTAGTTTCTCTCTTATGAGCATATTCCCTTTGGTTACCCCTATGTTATTTTTACTTCCTTTCTTTTTGAAAAAGTATAGAATTAAATTTCACCAAGGCAGTGACAACCACTTACAATGCTGAAGCTGAAGGAAAAGGCACTGTTTAAGTAAGCCGCAGCAGGCTATAATGAGATGAAGTTTGGAGGCACGGTTATTGGGAAGGCAATGGAGTGTCTCTGAGTAACGTGGAGGCATTTTGTAACCGCAAAAACCATGAAGGATGTGGCTATAGGTACGCCTCCAGTAACTGGCAAGCATAGAAATCCAAGACTCAGATTAAAATCATTTTTCTCCTTGCAGGCTGTGAGCCCATTCCTGTCCGTTACCTCGAGTGGAGTGACATAGAATCTATCATAGCCATCGCTTTTTCTTGCCTGGGCATCCTTGTGACTCTCTTTGTCACCCTCATCTTTGTGCTGTACCGGGACACACCTGTGGTCAAATCCTCCAGCAGAGAGCTCTGCTATATCATTCTGGCTGGCATCTTCCTGGGCTACGTGTGCCCTTTCACCCTTATCGCCAAACCTACCACTACATCCTGCTACCTCCAGCGCCTCCTGGTCGGCCTCTCTTCCGCCATGTGCTATTCTGCATTAGTCACCAAAACCAATCGTATCGCACGCATCCTGGCCGGCAGCAAGAAGAAGATCTGTACCCGGAAGCCTAGGTTCATGAGCGCTTGGGCCCAGGTGATCATTGCCTCCATTCTGATTAGTGTCCAGCTGACACTAGTGGTGACCTTGATCATCATGGAGCCTCCCATGCCCATTTTGTCCTACCCGAGTATCAAGGAAGTCTACCTGATCTGCAATACCAGCAACCTGGGGGTAGTGGCCCCAGTGGGCTACAATGGACTCCTCATCATGAGCTGTACCTACTATGCCTTCAAGACCCGCAATGTGCCCGCCAACTTCAATGAGGCTAAATACATCGCCTTCACCATGTACACTACCTGCATCATCTGGCTGGCTTTTGTGCCCATTTACTTTGGGAGCAACTACAAGATCATCACTACCTGCTTCGCAGTGAGCCTCAGTGTGACGGTGGCCCTGGGGTGCATGTTCACTCCCAAGATGTACATCATTATTGCCAAGCCCGAGAGGAATGTCCGCAGTGCCTTCACCACCTCTGACGTAGTCCGCATGCACGTTGGTGATGGCAAGCTGCCCTGCCGCTCCAACACCTTCCTCAACATTTTCCGGAGAAAGAAGCCGGGGGCAGGAAATACCAAGTGAGTCGTCTGGTGTGGGTTTCTCAGTCTCTGTCTCTGTCTCTGTCTCTGTCTCTCTGTCTCTCTGTCTCTCTCTCTGTGTGTCTCTCTGTGTGTCTCTCTCTCTGTCCCTCACTCTGTCCCTCTCTCTGTCTCTCTCTTTGTCTTTCTCATCTCTCTCTTTGTGTCTCTGTCTCTCTCTGTGTATCTGTCTCTGTCTATCTCTCTGTCTCTCTCTGTGTCTCTCTGCGTGTCTCTCTGTCTGTCTCTGTCTCTGTCTCTCTCTCCCCTGCCTCATTCTCTCCCTTGTTTATTGTTTTCCTCCACTTCCTGAAAGTTTTTCAAATCTCACTGTTGGAATAGGAATATAAACATAAAAGTACTCTGCTTTTCATTGCTTTGAAACAGCAAGAATTGTGGAGCAATGCTGACCCAAGTACATACTTTTGTTTTCCTAGAGGCTCAAACTGCAGTTCTGCCAGAAATGTCTTTCCTGTTATGTAGGTTCCCAGTTTGTGGAGAATCAACACGGTCTCGTCCTGGGTCAGAGAGGCGAATACTGGTTCTCAGTGAAAGTTTAGGCTGAGGTTGAAGATAGCATCTGATTTATTTTTACTCTGAAATGACACTTTTAGCAATCTGGGGTAGGGGATAGGATGCTAAGCACCCTAGGGAGAGTGCCACTTCAAAATTGGTTTGCAGTGGAGCATCGAGCATGCCCTGTTATGATATCTCTGAAGCATCTGCTTTATCCTAGATCCCTTATTTATTAACTTTTACACATATTGTAATGAACATGTTCCACATGAATTGAGGTGTTTCTTCTTCGTTGTCATGATCAGAGTGGTTTTTTAGTCGAGTGAATAAGGAGCCATAAACTTGAACATCAAAATCCAAATGGTTTGCATTCTGGTAATTCTGGGTAATGAAGTTTCCATGTAAATATTTTCCTGATTCTGTTATTTATGAAAATACATTTCATGCAGTATATATGATTTTTTAAAAAATGACATGGGCAGGGCAGTGATGATTTACACCCTTAATCGCAACACTCAGGAGGCAGAGGCAGGTGAATTTCTATGAGTTTTAGGCCAACCTGGTCTACAGAGTGAGTTTCAGGACAGCCAGGGTGACAAACAGAAACCCTGTCTCAAAAAACAAACAAACAAAAAACAACCAAATAAACAAAAGAAAAGCTTTAAAAATGGCATAGATGTACCATTAACAGGATTAAGTTTGCTCTTTGAGATGGATCTGAGAAATGAATGTTAACAGTCACATCATGATATATGGCATTTAATAACTACTGCATGCACGAAAGTCAACTAGCAGGTAGAGGACTGAAGTCACTTTCCTCCAATGTAGCTAAGGAAATGAAGTTGCTACAAATTCATGTAACTTTTAAGTATAAATCCCTTTAGCCTGTTTTAAATTGGTATAAGAGTTCTTATCTTAACATATATCTAAACCTCTAATGCATTAAGTTCTGTATTTTTAAAGCCACATATGGACGTCTTACAGAAATCATAATCTGTGCCTGTGATGCAGAATTTGGGGGGAGGGGAATCTTTGAAACCCATAGTCATTAATTCAAACGAAAACATACCTAACATTTAGCAGCATTAGAACAGAGCCAACAATTCGTGCTTATTTCTCATGTCAGGTATTTTATAAGCTGTTGGTTATAAAAGGTGTCCAGTACTAATTTATACTTGTCATGATTTTTCTTTTAGCCAGTGTCCAATCAATAGTGACTGCCAGATAGTCCTTAGCATGACAACAAAACTACATGCCTGTTACATGAGCAAAAAAGAAGACTATTAGCCCCAACAGACTGCTGTGAAGTAGCATCATAGCTATTTCACTAAGAGGTGAGAGAAAGAAAAATATCAGGAAAGAAGATACCTTCGGAGCTAGGGAGGTGGCTCAGTAGGTAAGAGCACTTGTTGCGCAAGCACGATGGTCTGAGTTCAAAAACCTAGCCCTTGTGAAAAGCCACCAATGACTGAGCACCTGTAACCCCAGCACTGGAGGATGGAGCGAGGCATAAGTAAAGGAGGATTGATACCGCTTTCTAGCTGCCAGCCCAGCTCCAGCTTCAGTGAGAGATTCCAACAAGGGTATAAGATATGGAGTATCAGAGCAGGCCGCCAAACATCCTCTTCCCCTCTTCTGGTCCCCACATGCTCTCACGGGCACGAGTATTCTCTTATACACACCTGTGCACATGCCAAACACACATACTCATATTTCCATGTTCAAACAGACATACATATACATAGACACACATACACACACCAGGAGGGCACTTTAAACTGGAATATTCACAGGCAGTAAGTCAGAAGGATTTCACCTACCATCTGGCTCCATGTCTCAGCATTTATTTTACTGCTTAAGACAATTTTTTGATTTTTGGTCTTGTGTCATTTCTCAAAGTTATTATTCTGAGAATCTATGGGACTGAGATGTCCAGGAATGTGACTTCCTATGGATGAATGGGAATACTGTCCAAAAGAACTGTGAGTAATGAGTCTTGTGCTTGCTGCTAGGGTGCAAAAGGACTCTTTGACATTATGTGAGTGGTGTCTGGAACTTTCTGAGCAGCCAGAATCGCTGTACATTTGGACCAGACTCCCACACCCAAACTACTTTCCCTATAATTTGAGAAGACTCCGTTCCCAATCATAAATTTAGAAATTAATTTCATTTGGGATTTCTCATTCAAAGGAGAGTTTGATGTGATCTAAGCTGATTTGGTTGTCTTGGAAGAGGTACTTTCACCAGTAAACTAATTATTAGGTATAAATTATCAAGCATTACCACAGGGCTATGTTGATGAATTTAGTTCCAATTAATAATGATAACTCACAGCTTTCTTAGCACAATTTGTAGCTTCTTCAATATGTTTCATGCAAATGAGCTGACCCACAGTGGGTATCTGGGGCTACATTTCTGTGGAAAACAATAATTTGATTATTCATTTTCTCATTTATTCTCCTCCTGCTTCTGTTGTAACTTTCCACAACACTGTAATTTTAAACTATAACAATAACCTCAGTGTCTATGTTTTTGCCTTTTTTATTGCCATTTTTCCATTTTTCTTTGGTTTGTCTCCAAAGTTACAAAACCAAAAACAGTCTAATATATTCTGCAGCAACGAAAAACTGGCAGAGTTTTGCAACTAAAGCAAGGGGTTGAAAACTCTAGCTTATGTGTCACCCTGTGAGTTTATTGCCATTCTGAATGTGCAGTTCCTACATTTATGGTGTGCCGAGGGTGTTCAGCAGTTTGTTCAGACACCATAATGAACAGCTTCCACCTGGTCTGTAGTTGTTTTGGGGGTCACAAGTCTGGAGACACTCTATTAGCAGCCTGTTCCTGCAAATACACAAGAGAGATCACGGCACATGGTTGACTTTGCCAAGTTTATTTAAATACTTTTAATTTTAGCCATAGTAAAATGTCTGATAGAAATGACATTTTGAATGCTTGCTATGCATTTTCTGGAAGAAAACTTAGGAGAAGTTTAACGATACATCTTACATTTTGGGTTTAGTTATTTAGTCCCATGTCCTTTCTATTTTTGTTTTTGTTCCAAGTCTTTGAGGCATAAACTAATCTTAACAGGCCAACTAGAGCCTTTCATATCTCCATTTTCCTTAGCTGTGTCCTACAGATTTATTTAACCAGAAAGTATTTAATCTTAGCTAAAATAAAGATAACAAAAGTTTTCTCCTTTTTAGCAGTGTACTTCACCAAAAAGTCATTATTTAAACACAAATTAGGTATGACTTCCTCTTAAAGCAAAAATGATTTGACATTACTTAACTAAAGGAGTAAAACTACTAGGTAAATGACATACTTCAAAACAATTACGCTAATAATACTGTCAAACTAACATTTCCATTCATTTTCTAAATACACTGAAATTATCGAACTATCCTAGGTAGGGTTACTATTGCGATGAAATAGTGATCAAACCACCTAGGGAAGAAGGGGTTTATTGGGCTTACCCACTGCTGTTCATCAATGGAGGAAGACAGAGTAGGCATTTAAGCAGGACAGGAACCTGGAGGCCATAGGGAAGTGCTGCTTACAGGCTTGCTCCCCATGGCTTATTCAGCCTGCTTTCTTATAGAACCTAGGTCCATCAGCCCAGGGGTGGCCCCACCAATACTGGGATGGGCCCTCTCCCATCACTCACTAATTAAGAAAATGCCCTAAAGGTTTGCATAAGCCCAATTTATTTGAAGGCATTTTCTCAGTTGAGGTTCCCTCTTCTCTGATGACTATATTATGGTGTCAAGTTAATATAAAACTAGCTAGCACTTAGCACACTAACTGAAGATAAAATGAAGGTCAGTCTGGCAGTTTATGGAGCTGAAAAGTTACAATACACTCCTCTGGGCTTCTGCATTTATAATTGGGCATGAAACTGAACTATAACCACAAGTCAATACATGAGTAATATTAATGCACACTTTCTTGTCTGAGCTGATTATTATGCTGCTGCAATGTTTCCAAGCATCTGCATGTTTCTTGTTTGTTTTTTTCTAAATTTGAGAGCCAATTGAAGTATTGCATGGATGGTACTATGAGATTATCTCTCTTTTCACTCCTGTGATGCCTAGTTTTGACTGACAACTTGACACAACATATAAGCCCCCTGAGGAGAGTCTCAATGAGGGACAGCGCTATTTCATGGGCTAGGCCCTGGATGAGGAGTAAAGGCATGTATGTGCACATTACATTCTGTTCCAAATTAGGGATCTGAAGCTCCTGCTGCTGTGACCTCCATGCTATGATGAGATAGAACCTGGAACTGAGGGCTGACATCAGCCCATTCACCTCGAGACTGCTTTTGTCGGAGCATTTTATCATAGCATCAGAAACGAGAATTCAATAGCTTCCTACTAGGTTATTGTTTGCCTTCAGGTATAGGTCACTAAACCTTTGCTTTAGTCACTGTCCCCTGGGTCAGTGTTTGGTTTCTCTGTCCTACTTCGATGACGAAGAGAAAC